AAGATAGTTGATGGAGACTTAAGAATAAAGAGAATTGGTGAATGATAGATGTAAATCCGTCCTCCAAAACAGAATTTTTGATACGATATTTATAAAGAAAAACAGCCAAAAAAGATAATTTATCAAAACAGAGTCTGAAGATCGCAAAAACAACTTGGCGCCAGCCCTGGCTCATTGGCGCCAGGACCAGTGGCTAGCGCCAGGCGCCAATCCTGGTTCCAGACGCCAAGGCCTGGGGTTGGACGCCAAACCGGCTTTTAACACGTTTTCGAAAATTTGATAATTTTAGCGTACTGGAAGATAAAATAATATAATTTCAGTCGAAAATGCTATTTGATCTAATTAAAACTCTAAAGAATCCTAATTGAATTAAGAATGATAAGAACCTTCTAGAATGTTCTAGAAGACCAAAACCATTCCTAATTACATTAGGAATGATAAATCATATTAGACCCTTCCCTAGATCATTGGGTCTTACTTAAAACTCAAACCGGGCTCAGTTTAGTAAATTGGCCATAAATTCCTCAATATTCATCGAAATTGGGCTTATAATATATCGTTGGAAAGGTCTTTGCAAGCCCCATCCAACTACAACACTATTGGACCCATATCATGGACCAACCAACCTGGATCGGCTGTTTTCCTTAAAATAAAGTTTTCAAAAACAGAGAGAAGAGAAAAGAAAAGAAATAAAACTTTCCGCAACACTAGACCTTTCCACACTTTCGTTTCATTCGATTATGATCCGACGTGAAAGGCACTCATCACTGGGTTTGGTTTTGGGGAGACACAAATGGGTGTCTACAAAGACAAATAACATAAACATACCCAAGAAATAGGCAGGCCCGGTCGGGCAACTGGCCGCCCACTCGAGCGCAAGTGCAAGCCTCCCAGACTGAGCTGTCACGTCGATTAGGCCATGACCACGCGATCGGGCGATCTCAATTCATTAGCCAAGAAAACCCAGGCAAACAACCGGGCACCTACCGCCCTTTCGGGCTCATAAACTTGCTGTCCCGCCACCAGTTCAAGCGAACCACCGCTCTATTGCGCAAGAGCACTCCTAATTCCTGCAGTCAAATTCACCCGGTTGATCAGCAATGCTCACCTAGTCGGGCGCCATCATTCCTTGGAACATTTAATCATCCCGCTCGGGCACAGCTCGCCTGGTCTAGCACGATTGTGGATTGCAATGGTTGCAACTCATCTGATTGCATTACCAATTCCAACATTGAGTACATCACAACCCACCCATTGATGAAGAAGAGAGAAAAAGAGGAAAGGAGATCAATATATTCATCATCATTTGCTGGTGTCGACAACATGTTTTGGGGTGTAACTATGGAGATGATATGTGGGATAGCAGAAGCGTAAAAATTAGATCAAAAGCTTATGATACCATGATAAAGTTATGAAATAAAATGTTGGAAATCTCAAAGAGAATGTGAGAAAGCTTAGAAAGTATAAGCGAGAGCTCTATTATATTGATGTGATTCTATGACTACCATATAATACATGAGTTAGGAATAAAATACTACTAAATACATTTGAATAAATACATTAGCTAAGGTAGATATATATTTGATTAGCAATCTAAAAAGTAAGTCAAAGAATTACAGAAACTATAAATGGTAAAAGTAACTAATAATGATAATCATCATTATCCTTTACCTAAACTTGTTAGCCAATTCTATTCATATTATTTTGTGATAAAAGTAGCCAAGACAGGTCTTGTAGGTTGGCAGTGGTACAATTCATTGAATATTATTATATTTGTATTGGGCACCAATGAATATTACTGTAGTATATTACTCTATAAGAGTGCATTGAGAACCAGAAGTTGGTGATTAATTTAATAATTTTTTATTACACTTTTTAATCTATTATTTTTTGTAGAAATCTTCAAAATAAAATCTATAATTGAGTGGAAAAATTATTTGCGTAAAATGTTTTTTCATTAAAGTTAAATAGATCTTATACATAAATTTGTTGGCTTATCTAGCTGTTGCCTCGCTTATTAAAAGGCCAAGGAAGTACTATTTAAAATTTTGGTAACTTTGTGAAGCTAAATGGGTGGCTAAGATTGGACTCTTGAGGATTGAGGAACAACGAATTGAAATACCGCTCCAATTACTTCAATTTTTGGGTATGATTAGGGGCTTAGGGCGGCTAACTAGTTTCATTCCTAGTCATTTTCAAGGAGCTCTTTCGATTTTGACTTATGTCATAAATTAGTTGTTGACAGTTAAGATTAATGAGAAAAAAATGTCCAAGCAAATATTTCAGAGTTATAAAGGTCCGCACATTATTCATCATAGTTAAAAAAAGAGACATACATTTATAAGTAAACAATTTTTTTTAAAGACATAAATGACTACACACTATTTATAAGAGTTAGGATTACTTTACTAGTATAATATACTAATTAAGAATATAAATCCTCCATCATATTTAAAGAGTAAAATACTGGTAGTACTAGTAAAACTTGATCTAATAGAAAAGTTTACATCTCACAATTACGAAATTATGGGTTATATTCCTAGCATGGACGGAGATTGATGGGGATTATAAGCATAATGTTATTGTCATAGATTCATGATATGTATTGTGTAAATATATAATTGTATAGCTTTCTTATCTTATGGTGCAAAATATATACTTGTCTATATGTATAGTTCTAAAATTTTATACTGCGAACAATTCAAACTTAATATTTTTCTTTTTGAAATATTAATTCACTAATAAAAAAAGTCATAAGACATCTACACATGAAATATAAATTTACGAAAGATATTAAAACAAATCAAACAAAAGTTTTCTTCATTGAAGCCACGATCATTCGTTTAATAGATCTTGCATTATAATACATCCTTCGAACACATCGTTGGAATATATAGCTTTTTCGAAAGGACGGTCTAACAATTCTTTGTAGCCAAAAGGATGAATTTCATCTAATGCAATTGAACATATTTGAAAACTTGACAACCTTAGTAATCCCGCATGATTCTTCAACAACGAATCATTAATTCATAAGGCAGAAGAAGATATATTTTTTGATAAACCCTAACCCACGATAATTCCCTATATAAGAACGAACAACTACACCAACGACCAACAACTTAACCATAGGGAGACTGGTACATCTAAATTACTCGTGAAGATTTATTGAAAATTAACAATGAAAATTTTAAAGTAAAATAGTTTAATTTTCGACAAATTCAAACGCTGGAAACTTGATATTTTGTTCGGAATTCGTCATTAAGGTGTCATTTATAAAATAAAATTTAGCTCAACCAATTTTTTGACAAATAAAAGGTACTAGTTTGCAAATTGACTTAAAAAAAGGTATTATATATATCCTCTCCGTACTTTATTGCTTGATCCACTTTCCTTTTGCGGTCGTATTTTATTAGTTACTCCATTTCATTTTTATAAATTTTAAGGAAAATGATAAACATAATCCTTAGGGATATGCATAAGAGCATCTCCAATGGCAAGCTACAATGCTTTGTAGCTTGTTTTTCCACATTAATTTTTAAGTTACAACACTTTTTAGCAACAAAGTGTTCCAATGGTAAGCTACAACATTTTTTAGTTTGTAAAAAATAAATTTTACAAAATAAATAAGTAATTTTACACATGTTACAATATGAGTGGAGTTTATTTGTCTATTTTTCAATCAAGCATGTTGCTTGATTGAGCTACAATTGTTAGCATGTTGCTCAATTTTTTGTTCTCCAATGGTAAGCATGTAGCTAGGAATTTTATTAATATTGCAAGCAAGTCCTTGCAATTAAACCATTGGAGATGCTCTAAGGAATTAAAAAAGGAAATATTAAGGTTAAATTTACATTAATCACATCGATTTGCGCATGATTTTGTCATGAATTCCCAACTTAATTCCATTTTAGAAGTATATTTAATGCTTATATATAGCCCTAAGGGCTATATATATCATTACCCAAATTTTAAATAATACTCCCTTAGTTTTTTTTTTTTTTTTTTTTTTTATAAGCTAGAGTTACTATTTTCGTTTGTTTTTTTTTATAAGCTAGAGTTCCATTTTTGGAAATCTCTTACAATTTAATAATATATCTTTAGCCACTAATGTCTCCACTCTTTCTTACTATATCATTTCTCACTTCTCCAATGGTCCCTACTCCTTCTCACACCATTTTACTTTATAATAAAATCTAATATATATATATAAAGGGGAGTTTTTCTCCGAGTTTTTAAAGAGCCACGTAGGATTTAATTTTCTTAGCGCGCCGTGCATGATTATAAATTTAAGTTGTAGCCAATTAAATAAGAGATTATTAATTTCTTTTACAATTAAATAATTCAAATGTCACGCAAGCAAAATTGACGAATAAGATTCTAAAGTTTATAATAATTAAATACAAAATATTATCTTCAGAGATTAGGAATTCTATCTAATATTTTAAAACTAATATAATAACAATTTAATCACATAAATATGAAAATATTTTTTTTAAAAATACTAACAAACCGTGAATCGCACGGGTTTCATCTAGTAATTTTATATACTCTACTAACATCTTATTTTATTATACCATCTAAAATTCGCGCAATTTCATCTCTAGCTATAAAAAAATGAGGGGAGTACTTCAAATTTTACTGTTTTCCTCCCCACTAGTGGTGTCCCATATCATATTTTAATATTTATCATATCTTTTCTCCTCCCTATTTATACTTACTTTTTGCTTTTTGTAGAACTAGGGGAGCCAACGCGAGCGATGCGCGCGGAGCGGTTTGCCTTTTCTTGTTTAGATTGTGTTTTGTTTATGAGGTTATGGTAGTTGTTTTGTGGGTTAATTATTTTTTATTTGAGTTGTTTTTGGGTTGTTGTTTTGTAAAGGGAATTGTGATTTACGTGGCTATCATATTGGAGTGGTGCTATTAGCTTGAAATGTACAGTAATTGAAATTTGTAATTGCAATGAGTTGGTGTTGTGACTATCAATTGGAGTGGTGCAATGATCTTATAACTTGCCATTTATTATTTGATTTCAATAAAAGAGTTCTTACATGGCACATAATTTAAGATTAATCCTAATAGTACGGAGTACTTAGATAGATATAATGATATGCAGTAAGTATTCTTATATGGTAGTACTAAATTATTGTAAATATGTAGCTAAGTATAAGGTGTCGTTTAAGGACAAACGACTACTTCTTGTTTTTTGTTGTAGGACTTTCATGTGTCGTCAAATCTCAACGTCTTTGATAGCCCATTTGAGCACCCCCATTCTAGTTAGAGAAGTTGTTGGTGCTATTTGGAATTTGATGGTCCTCACCTTTAGGTTACTAGCTATATCTTCAAATTCTGGCCAATCACCCTGCCCAATAATGCACAAAATAAAATCAGAAAGCGTGTTTTTTTAGGACAGTTTTTGTTGAGTTTTTATTCGAATTATATGGCCTTTCCCCTTTTTTTTCCGTTCTTACCGCCATTTTCTTCTCATATATCTCTGAAGTAGGGAGACCAATGAGCTTTTCACAGTCTTCAGCAAAAGCAGTGAGTCTTAGTGTCCCAGTGGCGTCACTCACTTCGATTGGGTACCCTGTGTGTAAAGGGACATTAGTATTTTGGTTATTGTAGTTGTTGCATTTGTTGATTTGAGTTGATTCTTACCTGACTGCGGCAGTACTATTTTTTTTTTGCAGTGTAGGCATTTGAAAGTTGCGTCCTTTGTTTCTTGGCAGCGCTTTCCACAGTTGTTACATCCTAAGTAAGCTAGCAGATTTTCCAACTGAGCATCAGGGATAGTGGCTTGTATCCAATGGCGTTCTTCTTGCATTGTGTTTGCAGCCTGCGATGTATGAAAATGCATCAGTTCTCTGCTAATAGGTAGGTATTTGTTATATAGCGGGGTGGGGGTTGTTGTCCTTACATTTTTTTGCTCAATTTCATAGATAGTTTTCGCTGCTGTTGTTCTTGATGGTGTTCTGATGTGCAGTATTTTTGTTGCCTGGTCAAGAAGCATTTCTTGTTTTTCTTTCATCCTAGGATGTTTTGAACGAATTTAGTACAATTGATTAGCATTAGATATTGTAAGTATATTGTGTTTTTCATTGCTTACCATGTTCGAAGAGCATGTGCTTCCTCCCCCGTAGGATCTGAGATGATAGTAGTTGACATTGAGCTTGCAAGGGAGAACCCTACATGTTTTAAGGTTTTGAATTAGGCAGTGTGTTAAGGTATTTTAACAATTTGAGAAGAAATGATAGGCTACCTTTATATGTGGTTGGTCGTAAGTGAGTGAAGGCTGCAACTATTGGGCTTAACACCCAACCTGCAAGCTTCTCAGTGTCAATAACAGCAAGGCCTCCCCACATTGAGATGGTGAGCGGCTGTTCAGTGCTGTTTATCATGGCATATAGAGTCATGGATACTTTTGTAGTTTTGTATAAATGGCGGATTACATTGTTATAATAGGTTAGTATCGTCATTGTTTACGTACCTTTGGTCAGTGACTATGATTTCACGTACATCCATCATGTTTCCTCCTGATGTTGGTACTTTCCTGACCTCTTCTATGTAAAGGACAACAGCAAGCAAATCTGTGTGACATGTTACATACGGTTAGTGACTGCTACATAAAGTGCTGTTACCAATATAGTTGATGTTGGTTAGCACTGTACTTACCAAAGCGTTCATTTTTGAAGCTTGTTTTTGGAATTGAGTTGATGGAGACATAATTTGGCAGAACTGGACCTGTAGTTGGGTCTAGTGGTTCGATGATCGTTTGTCCGCCGAATGTCATCTGGCACTCATCTTCTCTTTTTTGGTACTTTGGATCTATTGGTTTCAGTGGAGCATTTGCGATCTCGTATTCTTTCCCTAGTTGCAGGACGTCCTTGAAAGTGTCTATTTCATCACCAAAAAGAGTACCTCCAAGATGGTTAACCTGCATAGCATAGTTCAAGAGAATATATGTGCCATAAAAATCCAATCGACCTGGTCATAACTAAAGTGACCCTGCTTCTTTAAGTCTTTTTATTGCATGGGAATGTAAATTATAGTGTTTAACTCTTAGATTTGTTTGCTCGGCAGTCATGACATTTCCATAAACTAATTTAATAAATGTCATATTGAATATGTAAGTGATTGTTAGCTGTTGAAGTTGTGAGTTTTTCCTTATGTTGATTAAATCTGTGAATGAGATCTGTATTTTCCTTATGTTTTTTGGTTTTATTGCCGATAGCAGAATTACAAGCAGTTGTAAATTTTATATTACTGGTTTTAGTGCCTAGTAAGAAAGTGAACAAACCTCAGTATCCTCAAATACAAGGCGTTGGTAGCGCTTCTTGTTTGGTGATTGTTGTGGCTGAGATTTTTCTCACTTTGGCTCTGACTTTGTAAGATTTGGTGCTTGGAGTTAGTTTCCCCAGTGAAGTTTGTTCTGGCTTCATGGTTAAACTCTGCAGCAATATATATGTACAATGCAAAACAGAAAGGGTAAGTTAAGAAACGATATGGATATGACCAATGTGATATAATACTTGTTTACTGAACAATAATGACCTTTTTTAAAAGTGAAGGATACTTTGGATGGCGTTGGTGGAAATGACAGAGAATAAACCACATATATATAGATATATATTGTTGTTTAAGACCAATGTTTCAGTTTCAAACTTTTGCATTTCCTGTGCTTGGTTTTAATTAGAGTTTAATTGTATTTATAATAGGAACTAAATGCAAAGAATTTGAAAAGAATTATACTGTAGTTATTTGTAATTAGGAGTAATTATTGCTAATTATTTCTAAATTATAGGACAGGTATTAATAGAAAAGTTACTTAAACATTAGTAAGCTGAACAAAATTCAAAAAAAATTTAGATACTAATCCCACTAAGAGTAGGAAGCCCCGTGGAAAAAAAATTTAGAATAAAAAATGAAATAAAAATGAATAAAACTATTTATCAGAAACATCCAGTAAAAGATTACTGTGAAGTACTTAAAGATAGTACATAATTTTTTGTAAACGCTCATATGCTGGAATTTTGAGAGAGAGAGAGAGAGCAGCAGACATTTGCACCACTGAAGAATTGTAATACTAAGAGTAGAAATGTCAAAATGAATGAACCAAATTATTAAACACCCACTATATTTTCTCTCATAATCTTCCATTACTAAGTTAAAAAGAATGTATCATCAACTCAGGAAATCAAAATTGCAGAAAATAATAGAGTTAATCAAAGCAAAACAGCAACATTGTAATAACAAGAGTAGGAAATGTGAAATTCTTACAGCAGAGTTGGTGGGTTTATAAATCACAGTAAATTATTATTATAAAAGAAAAGTCGCTTAGGACAAAAATTGGAGTTAAGAGTGGTAAGATTTGCAGTTTCCCCATTGTAAATTAGTGATTGGCAATTAGCAGTAAAAATTATTAGTAAGAATTATTAAATGAACTGCTTTTGATTTATACTCATAAGCAGTAAGAATTGAATCAATAACAATTAGCAGAGAACTAAAGACAATAAGCTTACAATGAAGATGGAACTCCATGGTATCGTTTGGAATGCCTAAGCTATGAACATGATATGCACTCTGTGTTGACATTTCACATATATTAACAAGTTCACATGATGAATGGATGCAATCAACCAAAACTATTTTAGTAGAGTGCAGGAAAAATAGATTTAGAGATAGAAAGACCTGTTTAGTGAGATGGCACTAAGGCCACCCGACCCAACTGCCAGTATTCTTTTATTTTCTTTTTTTGGGTTGTGGGCCGTGAGTTTGGGTACCGTACTTTTAAACATAGATAAATATGGAGCATATACATTAGGAGACTGATGGCGAAGTTGCAAATAAGAGTGGCATACCTGTAGTTTATGATTATCACCAATAATAAGAGGTCTTTGATTGACTCCCAAGTAAAACATAACTCACGGCAGTTGGCAATACAAAGTCGTTTTGCTGCAGAGATGACATGAACTCGGTCACAGTGTTCTACTGTTACAGCCTGTTGACATGATCATTGTCATAACAACTGTGCTGTCAGTTTCACATCTAACTCAGAATTCACATTTAGGCATGCTCCAAGAACTATAGAAATCTTAACAAAAGACACAGTAATTAGGAAGTAGTTGCTTGTCATTTTCAGAAGAAGAAGTAATAGATTGTTTCAAGAAACAATAACATTTTGTTAAATTTTAAGATGAACTAAGTTTATTGAAATATTCTCCTTCATTTGGAATTTTAAATTGGCTGAAATTTTGATAGGGGACATCGTGAAGATAACCAGACCGAAGTTCCTGTTTCAGTTGTTCCTGTCATAAAAGAATGGGTTTGACTTTAGCAGCTACACATTAGGTGAACGGCATACATTATAAAAAATAAATCAGGAGGTTGTAATTATACTGACCTTGAAGGAGATTGCTGTGTAACACCTGATCGTAGTAAGATCTCAAACGAAATAACATTTTTTGCACTGTATACATGCTGATCTTCAGTTGTAGGCTTGGTCAGTACCCTTACATGTTTAGAATTCCGGGCCCGAGAAAGGGCAACATATAATTGTCCATGAGAGAAGCAAGGTCGTCTAAGGTATATCCTTACTTGAGTGAGTGTTTGTCCCTGGGCTTTGTTGATTGTCATAGCAAAACAAAGCTTGATTGGGAATTGTTTTCCCTGGAACTGGAACGGGTAATTAGTTGAGGCAGAGGGCCGCAAGTCAATGCGTGGCAGAAATACATATTCACCAGTATTGTTTCGGGGTTTTCTGATGTCCTGCGGGAGAGTTACAATTCCGAGACTGGAACCGGACGCCTGTACCTGCAAAATAACGGAGACTCCTGAGAGCTCCGCCTCCAACGGTCAAGTTAGTACCTGATTAAGGAGTAATTAATACAGAAATCAAAGTAATGAGATCTCTCTAGGTGAGAGTGCTTAGTGTTGGTAATCTGCGTCGTTAGCGAGATTAGCCGGTTGTTAATAACTCTGTTCTTCTCTGCTTGATTTCTTGATTATTCGATCCTGTGATTAATGAGGATTAATTGAGTATTTATAGCCTTGAGAAGCGTGCAACTCTCTAGGTTTAAGGTAAACCTAGGGCTGATCGGGCCTCTAGACTGGATTGGGCCTTGATGGCCGGTTTTCCCATTTGGCATGGGTGGACACGTGGCGTGTCTAAAGTGGTCCGTAGAGGACGCATCTGTGATTGACACGTGGCAGGCTCCTGTTGGCCTTCGTGAAGGACACGTGGCGGAACCTGGTTGGTCCACTTGTCAGACGGTGATTGGTGGATAAAAATCCCCTAATCATTTGCCCCTCACAGGTGGCACGTGACTGGTCACGTGTCGCCTGTGACAGGTGTCGCACGGTGACAGGCGACGGCCTGTTACAGGTGTCACCTTGCAAACGGCCGAGAGATTTTCCCGCCCAAATTTTGAATTTGGAAGCGACCCTTCGCCTGCTCACTTTGCCTATAAAAGGAAGTGCTGACTTCGGTCATTTTCACATTTGAGAACTTTGCGAGAACATTCGGACCCCTGAACTTGCTCTGACATTTCGGACCTTTTCTGCCTACCGCCTGTTCTGACAAGCCGACTGACCCGAACTTCCAGGACTTCATCAACCGTCACTCGTTCAGGTAACTCAGTTCTCTTACTCTTAATTTTCTTTTTATTTTTTGAAATGGCACCACGGAAGCACACGACACGACCTAAGTTAGTGATCAGCCGGTCACCGGGGACGGCTGAATCTAGGACTAGGAGTGCCGTCTGCCCTTTTCTGGACCCATCTTTGCTCTTTATACAAAGTCCGACTGTATCTGTGTCTATGCAGAACGTGATGGCCAGAACGAAACAGACTGCTAAGATATCAAACTCAGACGGCTCTTCCCAAAGGGTGCTCCTTAGTGAAACATCTGACCAGGCGCCAGATGTAGAACGAGGCGACTGTCAAGCCGACAGTTCTGAGAGAGGGGCCAAGGTGTTCCCTTCCCATCTTACCGTTGACATGTCTAATTTTCCTTCTGCTCCTTCTAAGGGAGAGGAGGCGGGCCCCTCTAGGAGAGGGGAGGAGTCGTCCTCCTCGGACTCGTCAGAGGACGAGTCTGAGTCCAGCTCTTCTGGACACAGTTCTCCAGGCTCAGAAGAAAAACATAGCCGCCTACAAGAGGCGAGGCGTTCTCATGCAGTTGAGAAGGGAGACAATTGGGCGGAGCCGTCCGCCTCTTACAGAGAGGAAAATGCCCCCTACTACTGCAGGGTACCCCGGGGCCGGATTGCAACCATGCAAGACAACGTGGCGAGCTTTATTGCTAACCACAAAATGGGCCCGGAATTTTTACTGTTTGTGCCGGACCCAGAAGACACTGTCGTCTGGCCGGCTGGTACCAGCTATGGTGACGGCTGCTTTGGCTGCTATGTGGCGGCCATTAAAGCTGGACTGCGCTTCCCATTACATCCGGCTGTTCAGCGGATTTTAGATGGGTATGATCTGGGGTTATGGCAGTTAGCCCCCAACTCTTGGGTAAACGTACTCGGCTATGTGGCCGGGTGCGAAATGAACGGGGTGGAGCCAAGCTTTGAGGCTTTCGCCCACATGAACTATCTCAGCCGGACCCCTAAGTCGGGAGGTACCGGGTGGTATCAATTAACAAGCCATAGGGGTTACCTCATGACGAGAGGTAAGGCGAACAAATGGAAGGATTGGCGGAACACCTTCCTTATTATCGAGAGTTCAGACACGGAGCTGAACAAACGTTTTAACAAGTGGAATAGGGATCCGCCTCTTCTCGCAGGCGGCCGCAGCATGCCGCCTGTTCCCCCAAAGGCTAAAAAAGAGATCCTAGACAAAGGACTCTTCAAAGTAGAGACTAGGGTGAACTCTACTTCAGGGGTACGAGAGCAAGTACCCCTAAACTGCGTCCCGAGCTTCAAGTGGCTCTATGACGAGTACTTTTTGGCCGCCTGTGGCCTCAGCAGTCGGTGCTCTAGAGGTAGCCGGCCTGACAAATACTCTGTTTTTTCACACCTTGTTTACTTGGGATTTTTACTAACTTTGTTGTTTATTTCTTGCAGCTGACGCCATGAGTAAAATAACAGCATCCAAGACTGCAGCGGCCATATTGCGGGCCTCGCTCATGAAGCAGTCGTATGCCGACTCCCCCAACAAAGAGGCACCCTTGGTAAACTTCGAAAACTCTTCCTCTTTTAGTTGTCTTATGCATATACTAACTCTTTTTGTTTTCAGTCTGGCACTCCAAGGGCTTCCTCCTCGCAACAGCCGGACCCCAAGGCCCGGAGGACGACTGTTGCAAGCTCTCCTGGGTCTTCCAGGAAAACAGTGGCGGCTGAGAAGCAGCCGGCCACTTCTTCAAAAACACAGGCGGGGCCGCCTAGATGTATGGACCCTCACTTGTAAAAAACTCACCCTTGCTTCCTTCTTGACTAGGTCTAACTTGTTTTTTCCTTTCTCTTAATGCAGCCGGCCCCCAGGGACTTGACTTGGTTGAGGTAGCCAAGTCTATGGTTAAAGTAGTTCCTCCATCTGACAGGGAGGCGGTCAGGGGTGCCGGCACCCTTGACCTTGATGGGATTTCAGGGGTCCTAGCAGAGGTACACTTAGCATATTTTTGAGCTTTTGAGTTCCAGGACGCCTGTTTAACTTTTCTGTTTGGAAACTGACGCCTGTTTTTCTTTATACTTAGGCCCTGCTCCGAGTCAACAGCCTTCGCAAGCCGATTGATCGGAAAAACAAAGAGGTAAAGGCCGCAAAGGCTATGGCCGCCTCCAGCTGTGATAAGGCAATGTTTCAAATTGCCCAAAATGAAGTACTGACCATTGATCTTCTTTATTATCAGGCGCAGGCTACCGCCGCTGTTCGGGCTCAGTTAGAGGCGGCCCAAAAGAAGGTTGACGAGCTGGAGGGGACCGTCACCAACCTTAAGGCCGAGCTGAAACCTCTTCGCCAAAAAAATGCACTCTTACGAAGCCATGGAGAAATCTTTGGCCAACGTAAAAGAACGCCTGGTGAACCAAGAGAAGAGTCTTACCCAAGAGCTCTCGGATAAGGCCGAGCAAGAGAAACAAGAGCTCGTCCGGGAGATGGTGGAAGACTCCGCTCAAATCCAGCGCATGACCTGGGAACGACTGTTCCCAGTGCCGACTTTGCCTCATGGGAAAGAACGTACCGCCAGTGTTCGGAAATATATAATCAACAGATCCTGGCGGCTGCTGAAGAAGAGGCGTTGGACGGTGCGTTGGAGGAGGAAGAGCCGGTCGTGGCGCTTGTGCCACTTGGGGGTAAGGCATCAAAAGAGGGTGCAGCTAAGGCCGAGTCCAGCAAGAAGAGTGCTGACCAGGCGGCGGCTGCTGATACTGAACTGCCCCCTTCTTAAGCTTTAAGTATTTTTTCCACGGCCTGCGTGCCGTTTGCTTTGTAATTACCCGGCCAGGGGGCCGGGGTTTTGAATATTCTGCTGGTCTTTAATGGCCGACTCATTTATCAAATTTTTGTTTTGGTTCAAATTTGTCTAAGTATTTTTAATTTGTTCACTAGACCGACTGTTGTGTATGGCCGAACGTTAAGACAGGTACAAATAGTAAGTATGCCGCTTATGCCCCTGGACGACTGGTTGTCTGTTTCCAGGATAGATGATCAGTCGGCCATTTATTCAATCGGTATTCGAACTATTTATTCAATTTGTCTGACCAAGTAAATAGTATTTCCTAGTTGCCAAAGAATTAAGTAGGATAACAAGCGGCTGGTGCCGGTTGTTTCCCTTTATTGCCAATGTTGGCTTTTAACTCGTAATTTGTTAATCTAGCAAGAGTATTGGTTGAGAGCCCTTGTTTATAAAAAACAGGTGGACGACTCATACCTTTTAGGCTCCATACTAAGTTTGAGTGACTATTAAGTTAACATAGGAGTTACTTAGTCTTCGTCACAATAAAGATTGAGTAGTAGAGGTACCAGGCGGCGTAGGCCGGCTAGACCCCTTGATTCGCCAATGTTGGTTGGCTATTAACTCAATAGGTTACTTAGTAGGAATAGGGGTTCGAGTGCCCTTGTTTGTTTAAAACAGGCGGACGACTCAAACTTTTTAGATTCCATACCAAATTTGAAGGAGTGACTATGAGTTAACGTTGGAGTTACTCAGTCGCCGTCACTTTTGTTTGAGAAGTAGAGGTACCAGGCGGCGTAGGCCGGCTAGACCCCTTGATTCGCCAATGTTTGTTGGCTATCATCTCAATAGGTACCCCCTGCATCTATCCCAAGTAATACAGGCGGTCATCTGACTCAGATGTCAACTGCTACCACTGATTTGGTTAGTGATAGAGTTATCCTTGTCTCAAAAACGGCTACGTGGTTGCCCTTGGGGACAGTCGTATAGGTGCCGTGTAATTAGTTTATAGAACAATGTTCCACCCAAAAGGGAGCTGCTCTCTGCGACGAATTTCATCCGGAGGGATGCCGTCGGACGCCTGCTATGATGTTGGGACAGGTCGTATTAGTTCTGTAGATTTGATCAGGTGGCTTGGCGCCTGGTCTGATCATTCGGCCGGTGGCCTTGGTAAGTTCTTGGTGAACGTAGGTGCTAAGTAAAAGAAGGGTAGCCGCCTGTTAGGCACAGGGTCGGCCAGGCCCTAATCTTTTTAGCTAAGTATTGTGAGTAAAATACTCAATGGAGAGTAGCCGACTGTAAAGGAACAGACGGCATGCCCCTCTGAAGATTGAGTGAAACTCAAATGGAGAGTAGCCGACTGTAAAGGTACAGACGGCATGCCCCTCGTAATACAAAAATTGAATAGTAAGTGCAAACTTTACTAAGTAGCTCTTTACTTTAC